CCTTTCTCTGTGTGACATACACACTCTGTCTCCTCCCACAGCTTAGCATGCATCTTCACTTATTTTCTTGATTTGTCTTTGTTTTTATTTGGGGGATGGCTGAGCCAAAGGGTCAGAAACCTGCCTTTTATCCCCACCACTTGGTGTTTTGGTGTATGTGTACTGTTGGTTTGTTTATCTATGCTGGTTGTATTTATATTAAACCCCTGGTTGGTGTACACTTGTGTCCGTGCTATCTTGTCCCAGCTGTGGGCTTGTCTTACACTGGTACAGTGAGCAGCTCTACTTCCCCACAGTCCTGAGCCTCTATTTGCCCATTTCCTTATGCTGTACAAGAGGGTATGATAAATTCATAGCCTCTGGGGATCCCGCCCAGGAAGCAAGACTCTTGCCCAGTGAGGACCTGCCGCCTTGAGATTCAACTCATCCCCTCAGTCACTGTCATCCTCCCTCTCCTCTTCCTCCTTCTCCTCTTCCTCTTCCCTCAGTCCTGCAAAGAAGTCATCGGTGCTCCAAGCCTTGCTACTCAGCGCCCGAAGTGGCCCTCCCTTTTTTTTGCGCCGACGGTAATCATCCACCACCACAGCCCGCAATTGGGCCATGTCCCAAAATTTGAGGCACTGGTCATGGCCACTGCTGGCCAGGAAGCGGCCGCAGTGGGAGAGGGCCAGCTCCTCCACAGGCTCCCCGGCATGCTGGCCCACACTGCCCACCACTCGGTTCGGCAGGATGTTCACAGCCCTGGACAGAGAGAAAAGAGTGTTGGGTACTGGCTGGTGGGGCGCCTACCCTTCCTGTGCCCCCAAAAGCCCAGCTTCTCTCACCTGATGACTCCATCCGTAGACCCAGTGCACAGCAGACTGTCAGTGACGGGAACCATGCAGTCAATGGACTCGGCTCTCAGGGCGAAGCGGTCACTTGTGGCCCCAAAGCCGTTCCAATTGAAGAGATAGATGGTACCTTCACTGGAGCCACAGGCCACCTTCCTCCCACATTTCATGATTGTGACAGAGGTCAGGTCTCCAGACTGAGGTTCTGAAAGCAGCTCAAACCGGCGTCGCTTAATATTGAAGACACCAAGGCAGCCGTCTCCACTAACTTGTGGCCCCAAAGCCGTTGTAGAGCTGTCAGACCACGTCCCTAGCACAACCCCATCCCACCGTACCCAGCCGTACTTTCATGATTGTGACAGAGGTCAGGTCTCCAGACTGAGGTTCTGAAAGCAGCTCAAACCGGCGTCGCTTAATATTGAAGACACCAAGGCAGCCGTCTCCACTACAGAGAAAGCAGAGCAGCAGGCTTGGCCAGAGGCTCCCACTGAGGGAGACATTTAGCACAGGGAAGGCAGCTTTGAGGATGTACCTGGCTGTCAGCAGCAGCTTCTTGGCTGGGTCCAGAGCCATGTCAGCAATGTACTCCTCATGTTGCCGCATATCCATTAAAGGGCCTTCCTTCCGCTGGTCCCAGAGCCGGATGCCACCTGTGTCATCCCCAGTGGCCAGAACATTCATATCCACTAGCAGCAGACTGTTGATAGGGGCACTGGAGACATAGATGCAGTTATTCTTAGAGCATCTTTGTCCCCATAGAGAGCTGCAAGTCCTTACCCTCGCCTCAACACATTTGGCTTCTCTTACCCGTGAGCCTTGGAAATGCGTCTTTCCAGTTGGCCCTGCTCCACATCTAGAACGTGGATGGCTTTGTCCTTGGAGATAGTAACAAGTTCTGGGGGGAAAGGTGCGCAGGTCATGGTGCTGCTCACTGCTCCCCTCCCACCATCACACTGCTGGCTGCCTTCCCCAATACTCACTCTGCCCATCTTCAGAGAAGGCCACGGCACGGCAGGACTTGAGGTGGTGACCTGAGGACCAGAGCTCTTTGGTTTCTCCCTCTTGACAGGAGTAAGAAAAGCTGGAGAGAGATGGAGAGTGAATGACCCCAGACCCGGCCTGGGGTGTACCAACTAGTCAACCTTCCACCTACCTAGGAGTTCCTGCTAGTACACCCCTAAACCCAAGGAGCTTACTGTGGGGCGCAACTACAGTGTTTTGGCCAGGTTCAAGCCTCGGACTAATGAAAGGACAGGGTCCTCTCATTGCCACATGCAAGTCCCAGCTGGCGGGCAGGGCCCTCCTAGCACAATCATAGCCAACAACTATGGTTGTAAGCTTGAACCTATGGTCCGAACACGTGGCCCCACGTGCCTTGTGATAGAGTTCAGGTGCATGTAGTTGAGTGGGGTTGAAACACGAGAATACTGTAAAGAACTTGATCACGCCCCTACTTTGCCTCGTGGCATCTGCTATAAAATAAAGACACGGATTGTGGGCGCTGGCGCTGTCTCCTCATGAGGGAGTAGCGTCCCACTGAGACCCAGCTTTCATTCTCTTGTCTGTCTTTTCTCAATCCTCTGACCTCCCCCACCCCCCACCCCACCTCAGGATCACCTTTGGCCGTAACAGCTTACCATCCCATTTTTTCCATTTTCAGTGAGCTTCAAATATTTGGAAATCTTTTTCTCATTTGATAGATATTTGCTTGCAACTCTGTGATGTCACCCCACCCTTCTTAAATCATCCTTGCAAGCCCCAGCCTGGGGAAAGATTAAGTATGGACCA